TCAGAGAGAATCTAGGAACAAATTTCAGCAGTAGCTGGAAGTTGCGCTGGGGCTCGAATTAGCGCGAGGGATGGCAGGGGCCAGGGCAGGAAAGTGCCCCCTTCCTCTGCCCTCCAGCCACCGCGAAGCAGCCAAAGAGGGGGCCCTATGATCCCCCTTCCCACAAGTAGGGCCCGGGAGGCGCTAAAGGGACATCCCTGTCAAATTTGCAGGGTCTTCTTAGAACCTCACCTGTGTTTATCTCTGGGTCCCATGCACCCCGCACCCCCAACCCCAGATCCTGTAGTTATGGACCTGGGTCATCTACTTGGGCTCTGTCCATCTCACTTGGTGTCTTCTTTTTTTTATATATAACCAAAATGTTTTATATCTATCAATGACCAAACCCACTAGCATAGTGCCTAAGGCACTTGACTGCTAGCCAGGAGCCTGGTGGTTCAAACCGACCAGCCACTCCTTGGAAGGAAGGTTGGGCAATCTATTTCTGTAGTGATACTGCCTCAGAAACCCAAGGAGGGGTCGCTATGAGTAGGGTCCGACTCCATGGCACATAACAACAACAACATCAGACAGAGTAGAACTGCTGCATAGGGTTTCCAAAGCTGTAAATCTTTACAGAAGCAGACAGCCTTATCATTGTGCCCTAGAGCAGCTGGATGGTTCCAACCACCTGCCCCAATGATGTTTTGGTTGGCAGCTGAAAACCTTAACCACTGAAACCACCACCAGAGCTCATATATATATTTATATGTGTGTGTAATATATATATGGGAGCTCTGGTGGTGTAATGCCTAAGGCATTTGACTGCAATTCAGAATGCTGCCAGTTCAAACCCACCAGCTGTGGTTCAAACCTAGCAGCCACTCCTCAGAAGGAAGACTGGACAATCTACTTCCTAGAGACATCATCTTGGAAACCCAAGGAGGGATCGCTATGAGTCAAATCAACTCCACAGCTACGAGTTTGAAAACATATATATTTGTATATATATATGTATTCCAACACTCATCTGTCAGTTTGTTGTAATGTGGTGACTTGCATGTTGCTGTGAGGCTGGAGACTATGCCACCAGTACTTAAATTACCGGCAGGGTCACACATGGTGGACAGGTTTCAGTGGAGCTTCCAGATTATAAGATAGAGTGGGAAGACCCTCAAGAAGATGGATTCACATAGTGGCTCCAACAATGGGTTCAGCATAGCAAAGATTGTGAGGATGGTGGAGAATTGGGCAGTGTTTCATTCTGTTGTACATAGGGTCGCTATGAGTCAGAGTGGACTGGATGACACTTAACAACAATAACATATATGTACATGTATGTATATATATGCACACATATATGCATATATATACTCATACATATATATGTTATTGTTACTGTTAGTTGCCATTAGTCAGTGCCAAGTCATGGTGGCTCCATGTATACCAGAATGAAATGATGTCTCCCTGCTTTTTAATATAGAAGACAATGTGTATTTTGAGTGTCTTCCATTCAAGGGGGTTTATCTTCCAGGATGATATTGGGCAATGTTCTGTTGTGATGCTTAGGGATTTCTTTTCTTTTCTTTCTTTCTTTCTTTTTTAAACTTTTTTATTATGATTTGAGTGAAAGCTTACAGACCACATTGGTTTTCCATTCAACACCTAATACACATTTTGTTTTGTGACATCAATTGCAATCCGCACAATGTAACAATACTCTGCCTGCTTCCTCCCTGTGTTTTCCATTTCAGTGTATCCTTTCCTATCCCTTCCTGCCTTCTGAGCTTTACCCCTGGGCAAAAGCTGCTCTTTTAATTTCATGTGGTTGATTGTTCTAAGGAATATTACCTCCTTGATGTTACTGGTCACCTTATGGGCTTGTTTGAGAACCCCTTCAGTGGTTAAAGTGTTAGGCTGCTAACAGAAAGGTTGACAACTCACTAACCTCTCCATGAGAGAAAGATGTGGCAGACTGCTTCCACAAAGATTTACAGACTTGGAAACCCTATGGGGCAATAACTCTGTCTTATAGGATTGCTATGAGTTGAAATGGATTCCACAGCAGTAGGTTTGGTTTTTGGGGGAATTTTAAATAGGCTTGTTTGCTGAAAGTTAAGCCACTGGGATGAGTTTGTTTCCAGGCTTGAACAGTCTAAGGGCTATAGTCCTAGGGTTCCACCAGTCTCTGTCAGACCAGTAAACCCCATCTTCTTAATGATTTTGTCATTTGGTGACTTCTAACTCTTCTGACAAAGAACAGGTAAGGGAGACCCTAAGACTCCTACCTGGTGGGATGATGCATTCTGGATCTTCATGCACTATTTTACACCTCCTCAGTGTGGGTGACTGTGATAGTTGGAGCTGTGTGTCAACTTGGCTGGACCCCAGTTCTGTGTGGTTGTTCCCATGATGGGATCAGATGACTGTGTTCTGAGTGGCCAGTCTGCCCAAGGGGAGTTTCCCTAGGGGTGTGGCCTGCTTGTAATGATATCCAAGGACAACCTGGAAAAGCCGCATTCCTTAAGGGATTGGAACCCTAGTGTGCGAACTACAGACTTCCTTGAGTGAGCGGCCCACAGCTCGGCCTGGAGATCTCGGATTCATCTTTTGTTGGAATCAACAACCAGTATACTGCATGCCAGCTTGAATCTCTCGGCTCCCCTGTGCTTGTGGAAGCCAAGTCGGCCGCAAGCCCCATCTCCTCCAGAGACGGACTTTTTGGCTTGGACTTGTCGGCTTCTATACGCTTGTGAGCCATTT